TTACATATCTGATATAAGGGGGTTGGGGTTTTGGGGTGAGGCTCGGCTTGGGGATGCGAGTGTTTCTAGGTTTGGAGCTTGTCTAAGCTGCTTCTGCCGCTGCTGACGGGTAAGGGAACAAGGAGGTTACAAGACAAACCCTAAACCTAAACCCTAAACCCCTAAACCCCTAAACCCTAAACTCCTAGACCCTAAACCTTAAACCCTAAACTAAACCTTAAACCCTAAGTGTTGCACCGTGATTTTGCGTGCCTGCCTTGGCCTCTACAGCAAGCATCTTGCGGAGGGTGATTGCAGGACATCACACCAATCTCAAATAGGCCCAATCCTCATTAGAGCTATAGACTTTAGGAGGACCCCCCACCCTGTAATAGTGGTATAATAGGAAAATAGTAGGGCCCAAATATGGTCCTTATGATGCCTTATAGTCACTATTACTGGGTGGGGGGTCCACCTAATATAGACTAAACTCCTAGTATCCCCCTTAATAACCCCTATAATACTCCCCCTATGTAATCCCCTTGAAGGAGTTTAGACTACAGCTCACTGGATCCTATCTTCTTACTGGGGCTTAGTAGGGAAGAAGGGAATCTATCGAATAGGGACTATATAAGGATCATGTTCCTTTATTCCCTACTAAGAGCCAGTAAGTGTTAGACATGGCAAACTAGAGCCAAAACAAACACCTGCTAATAACATCAGCAAGCTCTCTTGGGAATCGGCGTCCCAAACAGTGTACCCCGATATCCCATTGTTTAACCGATACCCTCAATCCTACACCCCAAGCTCCAAACCCCAAACTCTTCTGTCCCAAGACCGGAATGATAAACCCGGTACCCTTGGCACTTTTTCGAAAAGCTTACCTTTGGTAAGCTAGGAATGGAGGAATAGATCGTCACAGTTGCCCCTATGAAGCCCATTACTACAATGTCCATGTTCATTTTCATTCCTTCATTCCCAGCTGACCAAAGGCAAGAAAGCCCCGTGCTGAAACGCAACGCCGAGAGTCCTGAGCCAACCTCCTTTCGGGGCCAGGCGCGAGCGGAGCATGGCTGCATGCCCGAGGAACCCGTTTTGATTGCTTGGTTCATAATGGGCACTTTCTAAGAGTTTGGGATGTTCGCTGGATTCTGCTAGGAATCCTACCCTGAATTCTAGATTCAACACCTTTCGGACGTGTTGGGTCGCACGTTCGCGGGGTCCAGAGAACCGCTGTTTGCTTATCTATGCATCAAGGTTCAGGGTTAGACTCAGGAAGCGGGAATTGGGATTGTCAAGTTTTCGGGGATGAAGGTCAGCCCATTGAAAATAGGTGTTACATGGGGGCTATATAGGGGTAACGGAAAAGAAAATGGAAGCTACTATTTAGGGCTTGGGGTTTATTAGGATTAGGATTCAGGGTTGCTGGGCTCAGGGCTTGAGGGACCTGAGCATGGGTCTGACCGCTTGCGTGCTCATTGCCACCTACAGCTCCTTCTTGAGCATCTCATTGGAGGGGTATAGTCCCTCTTAAGTAGATAGAATATGGCTTTGGGTATATAAAAATAGGTTCCCCATACACCCCATATATCCCCATATTCGATCTACTTAAGGGGGACTATGGATGATGGAGTGGGAACTCATCCAGAGGCCTTATTTTCATACGAAACACACCCCCGTCACCCCCTTTTTGTTTTTAAGATGTTAAAACACGTATATCTATATGTATATATACATATTGGAATAAATATTGGGATGAGGGATTACCCAACTTTTGGGTGCAGCCCTAAATCCTGAACCCTCGTGCCCCAGGGGGCCAGTGTTTCCACCTCACAGAGCAGCTCCCCGACACCCCGTCACAAGAAATGTTCCGAATCTAATCCGCACATACAAGTGGCTTTTAATTGGGAAGAATACATTAGGAAGTGGGGCGGCCCATTGATTAATACCCAAACCCCTAAGCAGCTACACCCTCAACCCTCAACTTTGCAGATCCCTGCCAGGTTCTGGTCTCTCACGCTTCTGCTGCAGTTCAGTTGGGGCCACTTCTCTTACCTCACCCGCATATGGGCTCGTGTGAAAACCCCATGGCCACTCTTCCTATCCTAATCTAAACCTTATCGTTATTTTCTTATTGGTTATCGTTTTACAGGGGAACTGTTAATACTTCTGGAATTGTAAACCTTCTTGTTTTTTGTATATTGGTTATCGTTTTGCAAGGGNNCTCTTGTATAAATTCTGAAAGGGGGTTTTTACCCAAGCCCATATTATGGTTGAACAAGAAATCGGGGGTCTCAAAGATTGTGGTGTCCCTTTGCGGGCATCTCTGTCACAAGAAATGTCATGTATGGTATAGTGGGACTCGCTATTTGTGGAAAATCTCTGGGAAGCCCATACATGAATTTGCGCATCTACACCGCTGGCCCTGTTGCCAGGTTCGCCATCAAGATCTTGCTAGTCTGAGGGGGGAGACGTCTTGCCCACTGCATGCACACTCAGCTGGATTATCATCCGCTTGTTGTGCCCCAAACCCTATAAACCCTAAGCCCGAAACCCCTGATTCCGTTCAGGGCCCGTAATTCACCCGGAACAATCACCCTGAAGCCATGACTCCACCCCAGCCAGAAAACGTTACCCGTAGTCCTTGCTAGACAGTCCCCGTAACGTTGAGCAAACCTTTCTTCAGACCCTAACTTCCGAACTCTTACTCTGAACTTAAGATAGGGACTCTGAAGAGTTGCTTATGTCATATTCCTTCTGGGGTTTGCCTTCAGGCCCGGGAAGCCCCATAATATGAAATTGTGCATGAAAGCTGTGATCGCTTGCTTGTCCCTAAATCCTAAGCCCTAAGCCCGAAACCCTAGACCCCAAACCCTAAAGTCGGTTGTTTTTTTTGAACCCATGGAAAAGCTCAGTGCCAGCGGCTGACGAATACGCCGCCTCAGCACAGGCATGGCTCAGCAGTTCGACGATTAGGGCTTAAAGGTTTTCGGGCTCAAGGCTTTGGGTTTTGGGCTTCAGGTTTGGGGTTTAGGGTGTTAAGGGCCTCGGGTAGCCTTAAGAGCTTTGGGTACCCTACACCCTGAACCCTGAACCGAGAGAGCTCGGAAGAGCTGACGTCTTTGAGAGCCGGAAGGCTATGGGGTAGTCATGGCGTGCTGTCAAACAGAAACATCTTCCACCCTAAACCCTAAGCCCAGAACCTAAACCCNNCCCTAAACCCTAAACAAACCCTTCTAGCCCTACTACGGGGCGTAGATCCCCGAAGTTCAGCTTCTTCAGAACTCATTTGAGCACTAATTCTGGCGACTTAAGGGAGACCCTTTGGGGATAGCATGAAGTAGGGGAACTGGAGAAATCTTTTGCCCAGCATCCACAGCCGCTCCGCAGGCCTCTACTAAATTTCCTTCAGCGTACTTGACCACCTGTTAACTGGCAAATGGCCCGAACCGTGTCCCTACAATACAAGATGAAAATATGAGTTCCGCGTATTACTCCCACCTGTACTACACCCCCCCCCCCCCCCGCTTAATTCATTTTATCTGTATGCGGCAAAGCAGAAAAGTCCACGGCCTGCATTTCGACGAGCGAGTCGATGCACATCCTGCTTGGAGTCCCCCTGCCTTCAGGCGCAGAGATATTTTCAAAGTATTCGCAAACAGGTTTACCTTGTGGAAATTTGGGGAATCTAGCGCTGTTGCTACTGAGGTAAGGCTGCAAAAGTCTTCAAAGTCTCATAGCCAGTTACGGATGATGGCCTGTCCTTGGCCATTTAGTAGGGCCGCAGTCTGAGACCTTCAATGGCTTTTCGACATGGAGGCAACAGGTTGGCATAGCTGAGTCTTCATGTTTCTTTCTTTGTAGGGTTTAGGGTTTGAGGTCCGGGAGGTGCGTTTGGTCCAAACTGATCCTCCTGCAGAGGACTTGCCCACTCCCTCCCCTCTATCTCAACACCCACCCCTTTTCTTGAAATGCTTCTTCTAAGCTAAGTGTGGAGGCCCTATGAAAATTGAATCTTTATGGCTTTACAAGGTTTATACAGGGATTCAGGGCAATATAGATCTTTAAAAGATATGTTGAAACCCACCCCTAAGTCTTGCAAGGACACCAACCCATGCTGCTTGCTGTAGCTAGCCTGGCCTTCACGGCCCGGATGGCTTGGTGTTCGGAACCACTCAGGAAAGTAGGTCCTCACTTGGGGGTTGGTACCTAATATAGGGGGGAGTATACTACTTTGGAGAGTCTATATTGGGGTCCCCCTACTTTGGGAAACTCCCACTTGGCTGGATGAAGAAGCTGTCATTGCAGTTTTACGTACCGTACTCCTGTAAGCTGAGAGCTTGGCCGTTGCAATGGAGTCGCTCCATTGACAAGTCAAAAGCTCCATTTGCAAATCCATCTCCGTGTACCAGCACAGGAACCGATACGTCCCTCAATTCTTCATGTAGGGGGAGAGCTTGACCTGCGCAAGCATGCGGAGAACAGGCGTGAAGCTTGCACGGCCAGACAGAAGCAGTCAGCAGACTTTGGACACTGGTCATGTCACAGAATCCATGCTCGAAGGCTTCAACTGCCATGGCGGCAGGATGATTTCTCCAACCCTTACCCTATGTCTCGCCTATGCTTGAAGGCTTCACCTGCAAACGTAAGGCTCTGTAGGCCCAAACGGTGCAGCCGCACTTTTCTCCTGGGCATGCATGTATAGCGTGCCAAAGTCCCAAAATGGGATGTCGGGGGAGTGAATTCCACAATATTGCCTAGATCATCCTCACATATACCTCTACAGGAGCACCATCAATATACCCTCCTCCACCCCCCCCCTTCCAGCACCAGTGACGTACTGGTTCCTAGTAGGGTTTTCTCCTGGGCATGCATGTATAGCGTGCCAAAGTCCCAAAATGGGATGTCGGGGGAGTGAATTCCCACAATATTACTTAGATCATCATCACATATACCGTATCATATACTCCTATAGTAGCAACATCAATATGCCCTCCACCCCCCTTTCCAGCACCAGTAAGTCATAAGAAGCTCAAGGTCTCCACATTGAGCTCAACCTCGCCCCCTGTCTTCAAATCGGACCACTTGTCGCTTGCCACCTGAGGCGCGGTTTTGAGGGTTTTGGGGGTTCCGGGTTGGGGGCGACTGTAGCAAGGGTATAAAGGGTATGTTCCGGCTTAGGGATGTTAAGGGTTTACGTAGGGCCTATAGGGAGTTTCCGGGCTGCACAGCCCGCATACGTGTCTTTGCGCCAAGCATGTCCTTTCAATCTGGAATCTTGAACAACAGCTCAACAGCTCTGCGAGAAAGACCATGCATCCTCACAGCAACGTTGCCGGCTTCTGAAACCCTCTCACGGACGGCCTCAAAGAGGCGGAGGGCCAGCGACTCGAGGCAATCTGCACAAGGCTTTGCGATGCTTTCGACAGCTGGGTGTTGGAGCTTGGTGTGGTTGGGCTCGAGGGGGCTTGTAGGATATTCGTCAGAGGATCAAGGATCTGGGAATCCAGTTTAGGATTCATTTCGCTTATGCAGGGTGTGGGCTTAGAACCTGAAATTTAGGACCCGTTGGTTGCAATAAGAGTTCGGGGAAATTGCAAAGCACTGGAGGCATGAAAGGTGGTGCACACCCTCAATCCTTGCAGGCCCAAAACCCTGAAACCCTGCGCCTGCACCTATTGAATCTCAAAAGCCAGCAGCATCTAAGGCCTAGATCCTGGGCATCCTACCCCCCATGCTTAGGGTTTAGGGTTCAGGGTTGAGGGTTGAGGGTGTAGGGTTCAGGGTTTAGGGCTTCATGCAAATTCAACTGCAATTTGTTTTGAGATGAATGACTTCCGGAAGAAAGGCCAACCTGAAGGGAAATGCAATCTTACTCTACACTGGGGACCCAAGTACTGTTTCAGGACCAGGATACACCCACACCATGGGAAACTGTTCGCGTATCACAGCAACCTGTTCTGGATTTATAGTTTGAAAGAGCAAGCCAAAGCTCCTAAGACCAAACTAACCAATCCCTCTATGTTCCCCCTCTTCTGCAGCATGTGCAAATATGAGCCTTAAACCCTAAATCCTGTGTGATCCGCACACCGCCGCTTGAAAATGATGAAAAACCTTCCATCCTCTCTGACCCCTTGAACCAAACAGTGAAATCCCAAATCTCCAACCCCAAGCCCAAACCTTGAACCCTAAACCCGAAGCCTGAAGCTCTAGACCCCAGAACCCACCTCTAAAAACCCGAAACCCCATATCGTCCTAAACCTCACACACTGCTTCGCAAGGCCTGGGCGCAAGGTCTGGGCGGCGGCCACCACCAAGGGTGCCATCAGCGCTCCGCGGGTGAGCCAAAGGACATCAAAGTTGAAGCCCACCGCAGCCACTGAGAGGCCTGAGGAGTCAAGAGGGGTTGATTCATGTTTCATAAGAATGATAAGGGAAGTGGGGCTTAGCAACAATTTCAGAAGCACTCTAATTCAACAGGGGGGTTAGATAATCAGGAATGCTGCTGGTATTCAAAAAAGTCTATCAAGAACCCTCAACGGAGGCGTTGCCAGCAAGCCTTGGTACCAAGCGTACTCGGGATTAACCCGCACAAAATTCATGGGCTCAACTTCCCCGTTTCTGGTCACGCCGGTGATAGGGCTTTGCCCTAAGCCCTAAACCCTAAAGCCTAAACCCTATAGACCCTAAACCCATTGCTACCCTTGAGCACATAGGTTGCAACTGCTCATACGGCCCTAAACCCTAAACCTTAAACCCTAAACTTCAACCCTAAACTTAAACCCTAAACTGAGATGTGTGTGTTGGGACAGGTCCAAGATCTTGAATGAAGCCCAGGCCCAGGTCTTGTTGCCAAACTTGCCATCTTTGATATAAGGGATTTAGGGTTTAGGGTGTAGGTTGTAAGGAAAGGGGTTGCAAGTGGTATATGTGAGCTGTAGTCCAAACTCCCTGAAGGGGGGTTATATGGGGGAGTATTATGGGCCATAGCTCATATGTGGATACAAGTGCTATAGTATTTTGGGGTACATATTAGCAGCTTTTTGGCTTAGAGTTTTGCAATCTTCGGACGCCAAGAGTGGGTGATGCAGCGCGAAAGTATGATAAAGAGCTTGGGGGCAGCGGGCCAACAGGGCCATGTTCATTGCCACGGGGGGGTAGCTCGTTTGCAACAGGCGTGTATGAGGGTAGCAGCAGGTAGCCCTCCGAAGAACTAGCCTGAAAACCAACATGCTAATGTCCCAAAATTAGGGTACCCCAACACGGACCCCAATACACTATAGTCCTTATTATAAAGACCCCCAGAAAGATACTCTTAAATTGGGGAAACACCCACATTGGCCCTGGCCCACTCAAAAGGACAGCAATCTTTGAGGCGCCCCTATCGGGCTTGCATATTTGCTTGGGAGCAGCGGATCAACTGAACTTACTGGGAGTCAGCAGGGGATAAAGGAATAGATTATAGAGGGATTAACCAGGGATGATATTCCCTCATTCACTACTAACCACCAGTGAGCGAAAGCACTCTTAGCTTGCTGATCTGGACAGCACCCTTGAACGCAGCCAAGCTGCATAAAAAGCACAAGCATTGTAGGTCGTTGACCTCCAGGCTGCACTTAGGGTTTAGGGTTTAGGACTTAAGGTTCTCCAGCCTGAACAACATCTCCATGCTGCTCACAACATGTATGATATGATATGATATAGGTACTTCTCAAAATCAGAGTCCCGTTTTGATACCCTTGAATATTGGGTGCCGTAGTATGATCTGTAATCAATGGGGCCCATGGTTTTGAGAATAGCCTAGATGACCTTGAGGACAGTGCTGGCACCCTGGCCTGTCTCTGTCTGTACGGCTTGAGAGCGCCGAGCACGATGCCGGTCCCCACGGTGAAGCCCAAGAGGTACAGGATTTGGAACATCTTGGACTCCTTTGATGCCCCCTGATAAAGGAATATATCCTAAATTAAATGGTATGAGGATCCTAAGACCATTTAATCTAAGGTATATGCCTTAACTAAGGGGTATTGGGCTCTCTGGATTTGGAACATCTTGGACTCCTTTGGTCCCAAGAAGGGGCCATGGAAAACTCTTCAAGTTCGTCGAGTACAGCGCGTTCACAACGACACCTTCGAAACTCCTACCTGCTGAGAGGTGCCTAAACCCTAAATCCTAAACCCTAAATCCTAAACCCTAAATCCTAAACCTAAGTCCTAAACCCTAAATCCTAAATCCTAAACCCTAAACCCTAAACCCAGGTTTCATAAATCCTAAACCCTAAACCCTAAACCCAGGTGTCAATTAAACCCTACAGCAGCTAGCGCGGCTTGGGTGCTGCAACGGGAACCGCGACAATGCCCACAACCACGAGCTTCAGCACAACTTCAACCCAAACGCTCCGGCAACTCGCCTCGGAACTTCTTCTCTTGGCGAGAAGGTGATCAAAACGAGACTATCTGACATGAGAAACCTCAGACCACCCTACTGCCTGATTGCACTAGTGATAGTGATAGTTGGGAACCCATCTGCAGGTCGGAGAGGGATGGGGCGTCTTTGTCTATGCCTCATGCATACCTCCAGACACTGCCGCCGAAAATCTACGATTACAGGCCTCAAGGATTAGGATGGGGTGTAGGGTACATGTGATACTGTACTATCAAGGCGGAGGGCTATCAAAGCCAAATCTCGCGCGAGTCATTCGCATGGTCCAAAGCAAAGATGTCGACGGTTGTGTTTTTGTGCGTGGATATAAACATGCGCTACCCACAGCTTGAGGTCAAAATCAACATTGGGAACTTCTCTGAAAGTATTACAATCCCCGAGGCCCATGGTAACGACGCTGGAAAAGACAAATCTCTTCAACATAGCCCTGGAGCCACAGCACCCTGCTTGCTTGAAACTCCTCCAACAAATCAAGACAGTTCTCTGTCTCAAACTAGGCCTTCCCAACATACATCCCCCAAAGTAATGAGCTCCATGCACAGCAGTATGGGCATCTGTTCAAGAAACTAAGGATCCCAGTGCGGAAGATACAATACATCCCAATACTGCAAGGACCCCAAACAGCGGCGATCAACGTCGTGACTCCTGTGCAAATCTGTTGCTGCACGGGCTTCAGGGGTTGATGTTAAGCTTTAGGCTTCTCGGAACGATCCACCCCAGTACGGTAATCCTGGCTACAAGTACACCGAACTTTCAGAGCTTGCCAAAAAAATGCAGCTAGCTCCCAACATGCCTTCTACAATTGAAACAACTTACTTCAGGCGAGAACCCTACCTACATGTTGCCTGCCCGCGCCTATTCGACTCCGCAAGCATAAATTTTGCGTGTTCCATGAAGCATCAGAGCCCAGGTGCGTATTTGAAGAATAGCTCCTTTCCACCAGCCAAGACTCCTCAGCCGCGGGGCAAAAACGTTCCTTGCGCACTCCCCAAGCGAAAGACCTCATAGGGATCTGAGGCTATATCCTGCATAATTGGTAGTTTCGCTAAACAGGGGTACCCCAATATACGCCCCAAAAAATATAGCCCGTATTCTGGGGACCCTCCAAAAAAGGGAAACCTCAAATTAGGAATTCAGTGAGTCGCAGTTACGCGAGCTGTCCCAGAGAACGGCTGGGACAGGTACAAGATGGAAACTTCTTTCATGGAATGTCGCTGTTGTCGTTCATGCATCCAGTGCCCCTTCCCCGGTCCCCACATGATGAATCCTGCTGTTGGCACCTCACAACCATTCGAAAGAAGCAACCGAACATGTGACGAAGTTGTAGCACACCTGTCACACCGCAGGTGTCTGTATGCTTATCTAGCCGAGCAACTGTCGGACAACGCCGCTTCTTCGATGGTGCAACGCTCTTTCAGCATCCTGGACAGGCAAAGGCAGCACGAAAGAGTAGCGTAAACGAACATAGTAACAAAAGTTCAATCAGGACGTGTAAATGATGATGGCTGAATCCTGAGAAAGAAGGACCCCGAAATGAGAATGTCCGCTAATGTTGACTTCACATCTACCCACAAGTACCAAATCCCAATACCGGAACACAATAATATTTCTACGCACAATTATACGGTTCTCGGAAACATTAAATTTCTTAGGGCCTTAGGGACGATGATCTTAATCATCTTTAATTAACTCTATATAACTTGTCCAACGTGCATTCTTACTTCAGGGCCCCCCGAAATGGAGATAGGTCAATCTGTGGGGGATTATTAATGCAAATAAGGCTTCTGTATGCTCGAGGATTCGGAAGGCGATGTAGAAGTGTCCGCGTCTACCATTGCTATCTCTATATGCACCAAAAAAAAAACATCTTGCTGGCACGTGCTGGCCCAAATTTCCTGAGGGCGACGCGAAGAAATGATGGAACCGCTATAAACTCAAACAGGATGGAACAGAGTGCCTGCTCCCTGGTGGCCATGGAGGCCGAAGAAACTTGGGTCGCGTCAATGTGTCCAGCATAACATAACGGTCACGATATGTGGACTTGTCAAATAACTCAGTTTCGCACACTCCCTTATGAAGGAATGGATCCTTTCCCTCCTATAAATCTCTCAGTCAGAACCCCCCGAATCTCTGGAATTGAATTGCCATGCATGTTCAAATACCTGTTGCACCAAGACACAATATCTGTTACTATCTCGTTTTGTCGTACTTCAGTTGGGCCATTTATTTCTTTGCAACAAAGTGGCATTGAGACACGCGCACATTGATGGCCTTGTCTTGAGGGAACGTCAGCTTTACAGACTGTAAGCAAATGATTTCTTTGGAATTATGACTGACGTTAACTGTTAGACATGTTTCAAGAGACGGAACTTCACTCCATCGCTCAAATATTGCGGGGTATCTCTCAGGTGCGCAAAATTGAAGAGTTTCCGATATTCGATATTCCCCCAGCCACGAATTTTTGGAGGGGAAGTAGGCTTTGGGCTTTGGGGTTCATGGTTTAGGGTTCAGGATTTCGATTCAGATTCTGAATCTTAGAGTACAGGGTTTTGGCCTGTATGGCTTTGGGGTTAGGGTGGGGGAACTGCGAGAACGTTCCCAACCCTTCGTCCTGGTGATTCCTTGCCACCGTCGAAGGTCTGCATCTGCTTTGTTGTCCAGGGCCCTGGATAGGACGTCATCTGCCTGAGAACACCACGTGAGCTACAGTCAGTCTTTCCTACATAATCCCATGGGGTGTGTATACACATAGGGTTTGGGGTTTTAGGGAATATTTCCCACAGAACTTACCAGACATGATATTTTCATGGTAACACCACAGAGGAAATGGCTGGGCTCTGCCTGCACAGCTTGGGAGGGGGGTTCCCCAAAAAATGGGGATCCCTTTTCGGGATTCGGTATTAGAAGGAGAACTGTATCTTGGCCAGAAAAAGCGGAGCCCCAATTTGTTGCATGCTCCCAGATTGCTAGGGACAGCACAGCAGCCTACAAGCCTAGACCCGAAACCCTTAACCTAAACAGCAACAAGTGTCAAAGTGCGAGCATGCTTCAGTCAGGCGTTAGGGTTTTTCAAAGCTGTCAAGGGGTCTGAGCGCTGTACTTAAGCCTGACTCGATGAATCTATAACAATTTGCTTGGCAATCTTAGTAGTTTGCTGTTGTCTCCTTATTGTCTGAAGGCCTCAATGATGTCTATCTCATGAAAAGAATGCGCAATCCCGGGCCATAAACCCCAAATCCTGCACACGCAGCGGCCCGGCGGGCTAGAAGATTCACATAAATATGCACTCACTACCGCCATATGAGGATAGAGACGCCAGGCTTTTTAACGTTTATATAGGGTAATACAGGAATTTCATAGGGTCATTAGTTGTATGGGGATAATGGGTAATAGAGGGGTTAGCTGTAGGGCTATGTAGGAATGAGGTATAGGGTTATATAGAAAGCCAGATTTCAAACAAAATCCGGCCACAAAATGCTTGTAAACTCCACGTGGGGCACCTTGAAAACCAAACACGCTTGGTTGTTAAGGACAATCGAAAACCATTCAACATGATAATAAATGATAACATGGTAGGTTCCAGAACAGAAGCTAGGGTTCACCCAACACCCAAAGTATACCACGGTCCCTTGTACAAAGACCCCCCAGACAAGGGCCCCGTGTTACTGGAAACCTCAATGTCTCTCAGACTCGATACCTACCATAATCGCTTGCCTCAAATGTTAAACACACACCCATCCCCAAAAGATCCAGGTTCTCTGTAGACATATACACATATTGGAAACCACATTGAAGAGTTGTGTTTACGTCTGCTAACCTAATGTTGGGGGAGGGGATTACATGCAATGCTGCCGCAAGCCCCGGGGACCCTTGCAGGCTGCCAGGCGGCGTCAAACTCCACTTCGTGACTGGAACTGCGTCCGACGCCAGGCTGCAGCACCCTGAGGGGTGAAAAAACAGAGGGAGAGGTGTTTCAGAACAAAGTCCTTCTTCCTCACCACAGCAGCACTGGCGGCCACATAAGCAGCTCTATTCGTGTCATAACCATAATCACCGGCGTGAACGCGGCATGCTCATGCAAGTGTCTGAAGGGCGAGGCTGAAGGTGACTTTAGGTGCTGAAGTCGGACGAGCAGCAGGCACCCGTTTGCCCACTTCATCCGGACTGGCCCACGGAAAAAGACGGCACAATAGGCGACAGCCGCTGCCAACTGAGGTTGAGAGTTCACCTCCATCGAATCCTGCAAGTTGACAAACAAAAAGAGGCTTGTCTTTGGTAAGATCAGCAGAACTTTCGCGTGCACTGCCGTGATCTTACGTCCTTCGTGTTGGCTTTCAGCGGGGCCATCCGGAGTGATGTGGTCTCCCCATCTATAGTTGATAGGTGAGCCGCGCATCTGGTGGGCGCAAGGCTCCGCTCTTGTTTGGCCATCAAAATGACCAAGCATGCTGGGATGAAGATCCCATAGCCAACCGCGCATCCTTGACCAATCCAATCAACCTCGGCCACCGGCAGCAGGGCACTGCTAGCATGCACAACAGCCAAACACCATGCAGCCTTGACTTTGCACTCCCATCAGAATGCACGGGAGCTTATGATGAGAGATTGATGTAAGTACATCCACCTGAGGCTGCAGCCCATTTTGCCTCCGAACACTTGAGGTGTGGCAGGAGGGCACGGAACGAAAAGCCCTCCAAAGGCTCTCCGCCTGTGCTGGCTGCTCAAGCAAGGGCACCCTTCTGACGGCGTATCAGTCTCGCTGATATAGAAGCCTGAGAATTACAAATGTCATTCCCTTAGATTTCTGATCTCAGCATAGTGCTCCATGTTCCAAAGCACTGTCTCCATGCTGGTCCGGTAGAATCCCTGTAGCAACCAATGTGCCATCCCAAGCTCATGAATCTTTAGCCCCAACTTTGAAGAAATTGACATGGACTCAGGCCCTCCGAAGGGCCCAAACAGGCACTCCCAAAAATCCCTTCGGCCCAAATTGCCGGCCTCCGTCCAGCTCCTGACAGCGCAGAAGCGCCGCAGCACTCGAAGCACCGCCGATGAAGGCCAAGGACAAGACTTGCAGAGCTGTGCTGACACCTGATAAGCTTGCCCAAATTAGGTTGGTGGTATCTTCATCCGTTATAGCTACTTCTACGATACCTTTCCCACTACCACTGCTTCTACAGCAGCAAGCCAGGTGCGCCTCGGCCTCTCTGGGCAGCTTCTAGAAGAGCGCAGGGAGCCAAAAGCAACAGTGGCACCGTTGGCCCCAGCAGCGCGCACGCTGTGCGTGCACTCCTTGCCATAGTTTGGGAAATACAAGAAGGGTTGAGATCCTACCTGATGTGGAATCCTACCCAGCCTGGATCCTAGCGTGTGTTCTATCTTCCATGTTACGCTGATGGGCCACATCTGCATCACGACTTACATCATGTCGCACACAAAGGTAAGAACAACAACTTGGGCACGGATAAAGAAACCCACTGGTGCTTCAAATGGCAGTGCGTGAACGCTGATGCCCTCGTGGCCTGCCGTACGAGCACTCCAGGCTCAAGGCATCCCGCACACCGCTTGCTGTCAACTGCAGCCATTGCGCGAATTCCTCCAGGGACGCCAATGACTGCTCTTGTTTCCCTATGCCCTAGGCCCAGGGCTCCCCCTGCTCAGTTCACACAAGCGCCTGGTCGAATGTCTGTGAGGTAGAGTCGCCGGCGCTCTTCTGGCTCAAGGCTGCAAGAACGCCCCAAAGCTGGGCGAACTGCAGCAGCACAGGGCTCTGAGACAGCAGCAGCGGCCCCAAGGCCTCGGGTTCACACCCTCACTCCTAATTCTCTAGCTGGGTCCTGCGGCCAAATTTGACTGTACTGCATTCCCTCACAATGCAAGTTTGGGTAGTCTTAAAGAGAGACCGCCTGCGGACTCCCCCTCAAGCTGATGCCCAGACACCACGCGAGCCGTGGGAGTTGCCTCTGCTGCTGCAGTGGCTGCGGCACCTCCTCTTTGGGTCCTTCATGCGGCTACTGAGAACTCGCTCAGAGAAAGGACAGTGTTCCAGACATTGCGTGATCAACCGTGCTTGAAGGTCCAGCCCCATGCCATCTCCTCCATGCAAAGAAGGCGGACCCTGCAGCCGCCAAGATCACCGCAGCAAGGACGGCCGGCCAACGTGCGGCTTCATAGCCTTCCTGGCACTTTTCGCAGCGACGGCCATAGCTGCGATATGTCTCCGAGCACGTAACGCAGAGCGGTCCCTCATAACCTCAGCACTGAGCATAAGAAAATGCAGCAATTCCTCCGGGCGCAAATCCAACCAATGTCAAACGGTCGTCAGATACCGTTAAGCTGCAACTCAAACACTGCCAACAGTACAAGAGTTAACATTGCCCCTCTGAACCACAAGGCACATGACATGTACAGCTCAGCCATTAGGGAGATGCTGCTCCTCAACAATACTGTGCCCCCTTGCAGGTAGGTATTCTCCTGCATCATCATCTGCTCGCGAAACATGCAAAAAGCTGTGGGTGGCCGCGCCCCACATTGGCTTGAAAACAGCTCCACACTGAGCACTACAAACAACAACAATCAACAGATTTGTGTTCATGTTGCTAATACTAATAATACTACTAGTACTATTCATGTCGAACCCCTTTCAGTTTAGGGGCTCGGAATACTAAAATTGTCGTCCGTACAATTATTCAGAATCTGCTATTGTTTGGGGGGTTCGGAAAATTGAATATTTCAGTGCCAACATACAAAAATTTCAGGGTTTTTACCTAAGTCAGGTTTGCCTTCGAGGCCTCAAATGATTTTAATTCTAGAGCTCTAGCACCAGATCCTTTAAAAGGGACTTTAATGGGAACCCCAAACAAGGAACCACAAGAATATAGTAGGAACATAATAGAATTTCAGGACCTTGGTAAGTATATTCCTATTATATTCGTACTATATTCTTGGGGTTCCCTGTTTGGGGTTCCCCTTAAAGTCCCTTTATCATTCACCTATCAGGCCTGATATTAGAAAACCCGTAAACTCAGAGCAACCAGATCCATATCAACCGCTTTTTCGGGAAAGCGTAAGGTCCGTCAGTTCTTGTGTGGGATAATCCAGCAAAGGCCCGGATCCTGAATAAGGAATTGTTTTAGGGGTTTGGAATAAATAAAGCCCTTCTCAGAGCTCCAGCCGGCCAAACTTTCCGAATTTTGCATATTTCCCATGTAATTTAAAAGGCCCAAGGCCTCAAAGAATAAAGGATTTTAGTTCCATATACTTCAATTCAGAAGGCCCAAGGCCTCAAAGAATGTAAGTTTAAAAGGCCGAAGGCCTCAATGAATAAGGTATCTTAACTAAATTCTTTTACATGTATAATTAAGGCCCAAGGCCTGAAACGATAAAGGATGGTTATCAACTTTATTCAAAAGGCCCAGAGCCTTTCGCTTTCAGGCCAAATACTAGCAAATGCATGAATTCGCGAAAGCCGTGAAATCTGGTTTTAATGGGTTAAATTAGATTTTGATTGCACGAAATGAACTTTTTTATCAGTTTTGCATAGGTTTCCAGTGGCTTTAATAAAGTGTTAAGTAGATTTGAATACGAACACTATATTTGAAAAAGAGTACCAGCTTCAAGGCTGCTACCGGGGTTCATGGCTTTATCGATTTTATTGTGTGGCAACTTTTGGGGTGGCTGATCATGAAAGAGCAACGCAAATTGTTTGGGGGGGGGGGCCTTTGTTAAAGGGGGTTCCACATTACCACCACCACCACCACCACCACCACCACCACCACCACCACCACCACCACCACCACCACTATTCCTACTTCTCATAGCATTAAGTTTCTTACCACAGTGCATTAAGTTTCTTACCACAGCTGAGCAGCCTTGCGCGCACCCGAGCTCTGAAGCGTCTGCGGATTGATTACAGCGCCCTTCTGCAGGATCCGGGCACCTGCAGTACAAGCTCGCAAAACTCTCGATGATGCCACGATGGACTTCAACTATACGATGCTCAAATACTCAATGCTGTACGGCCCACAAACACAAAACCGCCAGCGACCCGAAGTCAAGCGCTAGTTAGCCAAACTGAGTAGTCAGATGTGAAAAACGGCGCTGATGGTCTGCAAGCCACTTCACGGCTTTTGGTGCGTGTGCGTAGAGGCGAGCATGTCCAGGACTCGGCGGTGCCAATGTGGCCACATTCCCAGGATATCCACAGTCCTGCAACAAAAGCAACCCCGAACCACCACGAGTATCTAATATCATATCTCTGAAAGCGCAGGTAGTTTGGTGGCCCCACACTGTTGGGATTTCCTCTATCCCACGTATGGCTACAGCATTCCGGAGAAGCAGCACCAGGAAGGGAGCAAGTCTAAGCAGGGAATTAAGTTCTGCTGGGCTGAGCATACAGGGCCCACCACCCTGTAATCCCATACCATTACGCAAGCAAAAACATGCGGAAGATTGTCTTCGGTCCAGATTCAGATCGTTGCAGTTCAGGCACTGTTTGTCATGGAAAGCCTTCTCTGCATCGCACACGCAGGAGTTGTCGTGAATCCTCCGCAACGTAAACGTTAAAGGCTGAAGCTGAAGCAGGGATTCTTGGCAGCGGCCGATCAGCCGGCCTGACCTCTGCTAGAGTCTATACTATCAGCTCTGTCATGCTGATGAGAAGGAATTCGCTAAACAACTGTAGAGTTGACGGGGTCCTGCCGATCTCGCACTGGCAGCCCTGCAGAGATGCTGCACCAGAATCCGGGGTGACACTGCCCTCCGGGCACAGCTTGCACTGCGTTTGATTGAACTCGTCGCTGTAGTGGTCTTTGCTGCAGGGCTTGCAATCCACCCCGGATCCGTGCCAGCCCGGCTGGCACCCACAAAGAGTAGATGGAAGAAACCGGGCCGGGGTCACTTGCAGCAGAGCGCTCTGAAGGCCGTAGCACGAGAAACCACCTTTGGCATCTGTGATGGTGCGCCCATCCGTGCGGCTCAGAGCCTTTGTTGCCAACAGCTTTCTGGCCTCGCTGACATTCGTAAGGGCAACGTCAGTGAGGTCTAGGCGGATGCCGTTCTGCAGTGCTGCACGAAGAAGGCCACGCGTAATGTCCACGTTCGCATTGCCTGCTAGAGACAGCAAGCTTTGTGCGTTGAGCCCTTCGACTCGTTGGATCCTGTTGCGGCTCAGGTCCAAGACCTGGAGCGAGTTTGAGAGAGGGGTTCTGTACTTGCCGTAACGGCCGCCGTCAACTTCCACCAGGCTTAAATCCCCCAAGTCTGGGAGCGCACCCGAGAGGTTGCTGCTTCGCGCCGAGATCTTGGCTAGCGCCTTGGAGGCGGCAAGCACCCCAAGGAGGTCCCTGACCTTGCCGTCTATGGGGCAGCCAGAGACCTTTGCTGCTATCCGACTTCTGGGGTAGAGGCCTAGCGCGTTGCGCCGACAGGTGTTAACAACAGCTGTGACATGATGGAAGCCAGGTTACGTCCAGCTCTACCAGGGCCGGCAGCAGCGTCTTGTCCGACGTGGTCCACAGGTGCTTGAGGTCTGCCAGGTGCTCGCCACGAGGTAAAAAACGGGCTTTGCTATCCTGAGCAAAACAAAGCAATCCAGCAACTCAACTAGTGCAAAGCATGACCGCGCCACCATCGCCACCAAGGCCCAACACCGAGGCCCAGGCCGCAAGGTCTAAGTACCGGAGGTGCCGCAGCTTCCCGCGCCACGAAGACGTCAGACTTCCGGTCAATCTTGTGGAAGACAGCCGAGCCGTTTCCAACTCTGCGAGATCTGTCAGGTCGTCCAGGGCCCCTTCAACTCCTGTGTGCTCAAGGTGCAACTCCTGCAGCTTTCTCATCGCCTTGCATACAGAGAGACAAAGCTAAGCTCAGCCAGTCCAAGAAGAGCGTGACTTAGTCACTGACTAGCTGTGACTAGCTAGCATCGAAATGCATCGAAACAGCATGGCGCCACACCGGATCACATGCTGAGGCCTGAACATGTCAAGCAACAACCCGGCCTTCAGAGGTTTCAAACTTCCCGGCACACGCGGTGTCATGTCACCTGTGATGACAGTATTGGAAAGCCAGAGCTTTCGCATGCTTGTCAAGTTGACCAGCGGCTCGAGGCTTCCCGCAACACGGGTGTTACTCAAAGAGAGATGTTGCACTTGCACCATCGAACTCAGCGGCATCATGTCACCTGTGATGGCAGTATT